TTGAGCCGTACATTTTCAATATTACAAGGTGCTGTGCAGCGTTCAATATGAGTTTAAAGTCAGCATCAGCACCAGTGTCATTAATGCATAACTTTAGTGGGATGGTCCAAAGTGAATTGAGCTGAACTAAATTTCTCTAGTTTGTCTTGCTCAGTTGATGGCATCAGAGCCAAGCGGGTATAAGAAAATGTTGCTGGGATTGTAGCTAACATCAGCCTTAAAATTTGCATTTGCTGGCTTCCACAAGAGCCTGAGTGGGCATACAAGTTGTCCTTAAGCACTAGCAGTGCAACTGCCTTGATCTTCCATCTGAATCAGTGGAAAAACTTCGATTTGAATGGTGAAGGATCAAGCTTCAGGCTGGTTGTTGGTATAGCAGTGTCAGATGGGAAGATGTGGGCCCATAGTCACATAATCACAGTGTTTGTACTGGGGATGGCCTTTAAGAGACATGCTACCTTCCTATGCTATTATATTCTGATTAGTGTGAGAAAATGTTGCTGGACGTATCCTGATGAGGTAAGTAGGTCACTCATTGTATTAAGCTCTGTCTGCCCAGCTTGGGGGAGGTATAGGCTCTTGTGAACATTTTTATTTACAAAAATATTAAACAGTTGTATTTATTTCTAAAAGGACCTGCTATTTAATGTTAGATTCTGTTCTTCGGCTATGCATTTCTTCTGAGGACCTGCTATTTAATGTTAGATTCTGATCTTCGGCTATGCATTTCTTCTGTCTATCCATTAGTATACTGCTGAAATCAACAAAGACATTCCTGGTACATGAAGTACAGATGGTGCTTTTTACTGAAATCTGCCTGAAACATTCAAAAGCAGCCAGTGCTTAATTACTTCATAACCATAGCCTTTAGATTCTGCTTGTTCTTAGCTGTTTTATATTGATCACTTTGATTTAGCTTCTTCCGTCAAGATGGAAAATGACCTGCTTGTTCTTAGCTGTTTTATATTGATCGCTTTGATTTAGCTTCGTCCGTCAAGACGGAAAATGAATAGACTATAGGAGAGTGTGGACATTTTTACAAAATAGAGGGAGCTGTTTAAACAGCTGCTTTAATGGGCAAAAATGAATTTTAAAAGAGGCTAAGGGAGTACACGGTAGGTTAACAAACTAGACTTGTGCCTCTGGAAACCAAGTAGACAGTCTCACGGGGCTTGTTGCTCTCCTGTGTAGTCCCTTGTGAATCACAAAACGATCATCACAGTTTAGTCCATTCTAAAGTCCAGGAGAAGAATGTCAGTGGTGGCATAGATGTTGTGTTGACTGTGTTTTTGGAGCATTTGTGAGAACTTTGTTGGCAGCCTTTCCCAGCACCTGTCTGCACAGTCACACACACTGGTTAGGTGTGTTGCTCCCTTGCACTGGTAATCCTTTTGGGAACTGTACCACGTCCTGTACTGTTCAGAATTATGTGGACTTCGATACAGTGTCAGAGATGCAAAAGTAGGCTGGGCTGTCTGCGTATTATTTTTTTTTATGTTTGCAATCACAGACAGTATAGATGAAAGATTTTAATGGGGTTCAAAAGTCTACATAAATGATTCATGCTAAGTTAACATGTGAATTCAGTAGGTCAGATTCTGTTTCTGCTTACACCAATGTAAATCCAGAAAACACCACTTGTATCAGAATTGTCACTCTCGATTCATGCTGGTAACACTGAGAGCAACATTTAACCTTATATTTTGTAATGTGTGAGCAGACTTTTTCATTATGCTTAATAGGCTGTTTTGTTTTGATAGTTGAAAGAAAAAATGAAAGAGCAGTCCTGGAATATCCTCTTTGTAGAATGTGGACGTGGTGTTAGCATGTTTCGAACAAAGAAGACTCGAGATCTAGTTTTAAGAGGGATCCCAGAGACCTTACGAGGAGAACTCTGGCTTCTCTTCTCAGGTATTGGATAGCTTGATTAGTTTTATGGAGTTGTATTGCAAAAAATATTCTAGTCAATAATCAAGTATGCTGCTTCAGGAATTGTTGTTCCCTGCCAGAAGTTAAGGATCTTGTTTTTATTCAGGGTGATAAAACCAATCTGCAGTCTTTACAGTTGGAAATCATAGCTGCTGAATCCAACTGCTTTTAAAACTGTACAGGTAAAAATGTTTGTTTCCTTGGTGATAAGGTACATTCTGTATCCCCTTAACGTTCAAGGAGACAGGTTGAAAACATCTTTGTGTATTCCAGCAGAGCCTGGCTAGACAGGTTCTCGCTAGTAGGGATCGAGATGTGTACTAAAAATAGCAATGTGGATGTTCTGGCTTGGTCTGGAGCTTTAATTTTGATGTCTATAGGGTGGGGTTTGAGAGCTAGAGTTTCTGCTCCAAACCAGAATGTCCACATTGCTATTTTTAGTGCACTAGTTTGAGTCTTGCGAGCATAACTCTGTTATCCAGGGTGGGACACACACTCCCAGATACAGTGTAGATGTACCCATTAAGGCCAAGTCCTCAGATAGCCAGAAAAATGTATTTGCAAAACTGGGTTTAATTCTTTTGTCAGAAATGGCAGCTTTACAAACCAACAGAATTTCTGTAGCAGAGAATTTGCTCCATCTTTCAACTGTTTTCTACACTAGGCCCCTAGAACTAAAGTACAGAACTTACAAATATCATGTGCTTCACTTGCAGTGTTTCTGAAGATGCACACAATCTCTTGTGAAAGTTACCAAGGTTCTTTTATGGCCTTCATCCCTGTGGTGCAATATCTGTATCCGAGTGCCTCCCAAACATTAATTAACTTATCCTACCAACACACTCACAAGATAGGGAACTTGTATAATTTGTATTGTACAAATGGGGAACTGAAGCACAGAGCAATTAAGTCACTGATTTTTTTCAGAAGTCCTGAGCTTCCACCGCTCTCATTGACTTCTGTGTGACTTACTCAGGGTTGCATAAGAAGTCTGTGGCAGAATCAGGAATTGAGAACAGATCTGTCTGACCTTCCATCCAATGCTTTGACCTCAAGACTATTCACCCTAATACCAGCAGTGATTTTCCAGATCTTCTAGAGGTTCAGTGTGACTTACTCAGGGTTGCATAAGAAGTCTGTGGCAGAATCAGGAATTGAGAACAGATCTGTCTGACCTTCCATCCAATGCTTTGACCTCAAGACTATTCACCCCAATACCAGCAGCGATTTTTCCAGCTCTTCTAGAGGTTCAGTGCATTACTTTTAAAACAATCTACCATATTTTAGCTCATGCTGAGAAGTGACGAATGCAAAAGATTTGTAGTTGCTAATTGTTCTTGCGGTAACTATCTGTACATTTACTCTTCCCTCATAAGTTTGGAGTCTGAGCACCTGTGGTATGTGATGGCACAAAAAACTTTAAATGATCTATATGTGAAGCACTTTCTGAAAATGTGGCTTAGCCACACCACTACCAGTGGACTCCACCAGAAAACATCTGCAAAATTACAGGCGGCATGGGGGCTTTTTTTGTGGAAATGGAGAGAGTTCAGGGTCAAAATCTGACCTACAATTGAAAACCGCCTACGGCCTCCACTACCTTGAGCCCCGTTTTCTTCTTTGCTACTCCGGTCATGCCACTTTTGATTTCAAAAGTGGACTAATGGCCTGGGGAATGGGCCCCCAAGACTCCATCATAAGCCATATAACTTCAAGCTAAACTAAAAGTTGTTGTACATGTGGCAAAGAAATTAGATGGATATTCCACTGTGTGTCTTCTAATGCTGTGCAATAAAACATATTGTCAGGTGCCGTTAATGACATGGCTACAAATCCTGGTTATTACACCGAACTGGTGGAAAAGTCCCTAGGAACATGCACTTTGGCTACTGATGAAATTGAACGAGATTTGCGGCGCTCCCTACCTGAGCATCCTGCCTTTCAGAGTGACACTGGTATCTCTGCCCTCAGGAGAGTTCTTACAGCCTATGCGTACAGGAATCCCAAGATTGGATACTGTCAGGTAAAACGTTCTTGAGATCATGTGTATGTGTCTTATAAACATCAGTAACACTAATATATGGTATCCGTATAGTGATGCCACACCTCATAAACCCATCACATGAATTCCTGGGGTTTCTTGCTTCAGTGACTTAATCATGATATCAATTTCAAAACATAATAGAACATTGACTTTTATATATGGTTTGACATGAAGCTCTGCCCTGTGCCTGTGACGTTATTTTATCTCCTATAAACATTGGATTTATGCTAAGTTAACATTATAATTCTATGTTATGTAGTTTAAATGTTATACTAGGCCTTTTAACTGTGTTGTAGCATAGGTTCGGTACAGGATATAGTTGCAGCTTACCCCAGCTGAACTGTAAAACAATGCCATGTAATCTATGCTTTAAAATACTGTGTACGTGTGTGTCTATATCTAAAATTATAACATGTAACAAACTGCATTCTCCCACTGTCTTTCCTTGCCAACACTTTTTGCCTTGCTGCAATGTTGTAGGCAATGAATATTTTGACATCCGTGCTGCTGCTTTATGCCAAAGAAGAAGAAGCTTTCTGGTTATTAGTTGCTGTGTGTGAAAGGATGTTACCTGATTATTTCAATCGTCGAATCATCGGTAATATGTTTCTGTCTTCTATCAGTTTAAAAAAAAAAACATAATCACATCTTAAAACAGAAGTTTGGATGGGGGAAGAAAACTTCCGAGTTAGGTTCAATTGTAGTTTAGGTAGGAAGAGTTGAAAGTAAACGGGAATATTTCTATTTGTGCAGGAATTAATGGAATTAATGTAGCTTTTTATTCCCGGGCTATTGCTGTAGAGATTATTTGGGAAATACTATAATTTGCACCATATTACAGTTATCCTGGATTTGCATCCTAAAGGCACACTGTTAACTTGAAAATCTAATCAGTTTAAAAAAAAATTGTACTAGGTCCTATACTTGTCTCTAATTCTGCTGGTCAATTTTTTTTGGGGGGTAAAAATTGTACTAGGTCCTATACTTGTCCCTAATTCTGCTGGTCAATTTTTTTTTGGGGGGGGGGGGAGTTTTTCCCCCATCTTCTCTCTCCCCTGTTACAGACAAGGAAGATTGACTACAAAGGAGGATCGATGAAGCTGGCTATAGACTATCAAAAGCAATAACATGCTACCGGTTGAACCTCTCTCGTCCGGAACTCTCTGGTCTGGCAACATCTGTGGTCCAACATGGTTGTCAGACCAGAGAGCCCCAGCTGGAGAGGTTGCTAGCGGCTGGGCACAGTTGGTATGACAGGCTGGCAGCCTTCAGGGAGTCAGGCCAGTAGCAGCCCACAGGGCCAGTGGCTGTGAGCTAGGGATTGGCAGCTGGAGCAGAGCCCCACAAGGGAGTAGGCAGCCCACAGGGTCAGAGCTCCACTGGGGGCAGCGGCGTTGGCTGGAGCTGTATGGCCAGGAGGGGATCCCCGGAGGCCTGACCTCTCCTGTTCCAGCAAACTCCTGTGTTCGGGACTGCTCAGGTCTAAGGTTGCCAGATCGTGGAAGTCCAACCTGTATGTGCAATGCAGTCATGTTGACTACCCACACTTTGTCTCAATGGCTCCTAATGTACGCAGGTCATGTAGGTGTTTGGTACAGCAGCACACCCAGAGCCTCATGTCAGCAGCTTGACCTGTGTTATAATTAATATATGGCTGTATATGAATCTGATTCCTGGAAATATCTGCTGCTTTATTTTCTAGATTAATATTTGGGTGGCTGTTTCATTGTCCTTCTGCAGGTGCCTTGGTGGATCAGGCAGTTTTTGAGGAACTCATCAGAGATCACCTGCCTCAGCTGACAGACCACACGACAGACATGACATTCTTCTCCTCAGTCTCTCTCTCCTGGTTTCTTACTCTCTTCATCAGTGTGCTGCCCATTGAAAGTGCAGTCAGCGTGGTAGACTGTTTCTTCTACGATGGGATAAAGGCGATCTTGCAGCTGGGTCTGGCAGTACTGGACTACAACATAGAGAAGCTGCTAACCTGTAAGGATGATGCAGAGGCAGTGACTGTTCTAAACAGGTATTGGTGTATTCATCACTCCTCAATGAAATTTGGAAAGAGATATAGTCACATGTAGGTTTGCCTCTGAGAAATGGCTGAGAAAGCACTAGGCTAGGCGTTTCAAAGGAGCCTAAGGAGTTAAGTGTTCAGCTCCCTTGGGCTCCTTTGAAAATCTCAGGCTTAGTTCATCTTCTTCTAAAACGATAGGCACTTTGGTATGTTTAAAATTAATACAAAACCTGCACTTTCCAGACCTGGCTTTCCTCAACAACCAGGCAACCCAGAGAATACTAAAATGTCTGATAGTTCAGAGATCAGATTAATAACAATGTGATCCTCTAATTGGGTTCTTGTAGCAATGCTTACTGCCTCCTCTGTAGTTAAGAGTTAATATTTCAAATGAACTTTAAGTGGAAAAAAAATCAAAGCAAGGTACTTGCCCTTTTCACACTGCTCTATATCAGTGGTTCCTAATCTTTTTGATACTGGGGACCAGTAAACCCATTCACAAGCTTTTGGAGGACTGGTAACATTTATTTGCATATTCATTGAGCAAATGATGAATAGGCAAATAAATTGTGTCACTGGCCCTCCCTGTCTGGTGGGTTGTTTTGGCTCCCCCCCCCCGGCCCCAATCCTGACCACTTTATCAGCCAGAGCCGGGTGTTGTGCGTTGGTGCGCATGGTGCCCAGACTTCTCCCTGAGTCCTAGCGCCTGCCGGATCTAGCCCCACCGCCCGGGAGCATGCCCGGCAAGACGCCGCGGCGGTGGGCTCTCTCCCAAGAGGGCCGTACTGCCGCACTTAGCAGTGCAGGGTGCTACTACCCCATCACACAAATTAATAGGATCGTGTGCGATAATTTTTCTAAGGACCGGTACTGGGCCGCGGACCACACTTTGGGAATCGCTCCTCTGTATTGTAGTCATGTCACTAAATATGTATGTGAAAATGTATTCTTAACTGACATACTGTAGGCAGGAACGTATTCCTAAATTTGCATACCCTTGCTGACCTTCTTCTCTGTCTGTATACCTCAGAATAATAAAATGTTGCGCACGATGTACCATATGAACAATGAGACCTATTTCCTGTGCAGCAATGCTAGGGATGCTTAGTTATGAATGTCTTGGCTTTAAATGGTTTCTCCCGGAGCATTAACATATTGTTTCTTTTTAAATGGGGTTGGAAGCCATTGTATTTTAATATTTTAGCTGGGGGAATGTAATTATTGTTATAACAATCCATATAGACTATCAGTCAGCTCAGAACTCAGCTATGCTCATTTAAATTCTTAACACCTAAATTAAACTAGTAATTGAAGCACAGTCTTACAGCTGATGTTTACTGAAGCATAGGTATAAAAAATGGGTTAGAGTTTGGCTTTTAACTCGTACGGTCAGTGTGAAATCACTCCTCCCTCAATACCCATGCACAGTTCACCTCTCTGCTGTTATGTTGGCATAGCTATCATTTAAAGATAAATAACAAAAATTGTAAACTTGTTTTGAACTGCATCTTCTAAAATTTTGCCTAGCTATGCTTTGTCTCTTTTGCACAGTTTATCTGGCTTGCGGGAAATCCAATACATTTCAAAGAGCTTCATGATAATTTGCATCTAAGCAGCGAATAGGAAATGATTGCTCTGTGGAGTAGTTCCTCTCTCTGTAGGTTATGGTTGCCCTTGTCCTTGAATGTTTGTTGAAGATCACATAAATGATGAACGTGTGCCGATCAGGACCCACTATAATACAGGTCTATAGGTGAAATAAGACTGACTAGGGTCCCAAGTCACTATAATCTTAGTCCACATAAATAGCCCAGTCTTTGCTTGCCTCCAGATAGATATTCCCTTTCAAGTGATCCCTCTCCATCCATTTTTCTCTTCCCCAGGTTATTCGACTCAGTTGTTGTCCGTTTCACTTTACTTTGACCGTTGGATCTCACTAATGTTATCTCTGTGTCCCTTTTGGGCAGATTTTTCGACAGCGTCACTAACAAGGACAGTCCATTGCCTCCAGCTGTGCAGCAGGCTTCAAACCTAAACGATAAAAAGAGTTTCCACCCAAAAGTAGACATAACTGACCTGATCCGAGAGTCAAACGAGGTTTGTATTCTTTTCAATGTGATGTTTTGTGTCCTTTATTTGTGTTTTCTTGTTTGCCCTTCACAAAAATCACAATTTTTGAATCTGCTGAAAGAGTTACCGAATCATAGAAGCCGGTGAAACATCAGACAGCTCAGATCATTAGCTCATCCCCTCTCAGTGCTGAACTGTCCCCTGACATTTGTCCAATCTCATTTAATACTTCCTAGCCCATAGTACTTCTTTTTTTTTTAAATTGTACCTGAAATGTACTAGGTTTGCAGTCTTGGGTGTGGAGTCCTTTAGCCACATGGCAAGCATAGTAGTCAGTTGGGCTAACAGTCCCACAAGTCACCCCAATAGTCATATCAAATTGCAAATTGGTAGAAGCAGAAACTTCAATCAGAAATTCAAGACTCTGACCTCTGCAGGTTGTGAGAGGTGGTGAAAATTGATATTCTCATCTCAGCTGCCAATTTAAGGAATTACCTTTGCTCTGTATTTTGGGACAGCAGCAAAATAGACATTTTGAGACATTGGTGGGGAGGAAATATCCAAACCAGAATTGACTGTGATCTCCTGTTTAGGCTTTTACCACTTCCTCTTCTCCTCCCTGTCTGACATTGGGGTTTTTCAACTTTTGCTGGTCTGTGGCAATCTATATTGGGAAGGAAATTAACGTAGCTTCTGTTTTCTCTTCTTTCTATCATAGTTTTTGTATGAGGCATTTCCTTCTCTTGGATGATGAAGAATTAGACTGTAAACTCTGCTTTGAAGTGTGAAAGGAGAAATGAGAGAAAAGTGTAATCCATATTCTCTCGTCTGTTCTTTCCATAGATATGAGATGCCCTTTCTGACTCCAGTTCTAGCTATTGTGCTAGTGAAAGTCCTACAGCCGGGTGGGGAACCTCAGGCCTAGGGGCTGGATCTGGCCTCTGGCTTGCCTGATTTCAGCCGCCAAAGCTCAGCATTGGGCAGCCCACACTTGGCTGTGCAGCCCCCTGCCACCCACCCGTGGGGCTGTCGCATAGATAATCTACTAGCCCTCTAGGCTCTGGTGTGCATGGGGAATGTGAGGAGAGTCTGTTGTCTTCTCAGTCAGGGGCTTCTCGCTTTACTTCTCACTTGTGTGCGGCCCTTGACTGATTTTTCTCTGGGTCAGCGGCCCCCAACCCAAAGAAGGTTTCTCACCCCTGGAATAGAGCATATAATTTTTAACTGGGGCCTTGGAGAAGAAGGTGCAGTGTTTTATGCTAAAGAACAGCTTCTGGATAAATGTATTAGCTTGGACATGGAGCTAGCTACTCCTGGTATAATTTGTGAAGAAGGCAGGGATAACATTCAGAGCCTTTCACTTCCTGTTAGGAAGAGAGGCATGGGTTTATGGTCTGAGCACAGGGCTAGGAGCTAGGATTCTACTTCTAATTCTGATGCTTGAACTGATTTCCCGTGGCATTGGACTAATCACACAATGTATCTGTGCTTCAGTTTTCCCTCCCTGAGAAATGGCACTATCAATCTAGTTTCTCAGGTAAGCAGAGGTAATATTATGTTTGTAAAGCATTTTTGAGGGTCACTGGAAGGACAGCATTAGAGGTGTAAGTTGTCATGGGCTTGACTGCCCATTTCGCTCATGGAATGCAGCACCATAGAAGTCAGTGGGAATACTCTGTAGGCGAAGGTTCACTGGTAGAGCAGGTGCAGTGCTTTTTGACAAAATATGCTGCTTTGCAAAAGTATTTCAATAACATAAATGTCCAGAGAGACTCACTTCTGTCTAATGGTTAGGCGACTAGCTAGAGATGTGGGAGACCCAGGTTCCGAGTACCTGATTCAGAGCTGAGTTTTGTATTCCACATCCCTACCAACCCAGGGGAATAAGGCCTTGAGCCTGAGTCTCCCACATCCCAGGTCAACCTCCTAACTGCTAGGCTGTAGAGTGTGAATATGAGAGTGAGAGTCGCTCCTCATGAGAGAGCCCTATTTCACACAGTTTTGTTTCCACAGAAGGTTGTGGCTTTGTTCCAATGTGGAACAAAAACAAATTTCAAAATGTTGAAAGTTGCTGCAGAAGTCATCCTGCAGTCAACTCGAATTACTAACGATGAGTAAGAGGCTAGAGAATATGCCTTCCATGGCGGTTGCCTCTCCGGGGTGTTTTGAAGATGAACGAGGTCATATCTGAAGCTGAAGAATGCTCTGAGAGCGCTATGTTTTGCTTATGTACTTTTATGACGCTGACTCTCAAGTGGATTCCTTTTCAGGCTAAATCATAAAGGAGCAATTTTTAGTTTGTATGTGGATGGGTCTGTAGTTCTTAATTTGTTGCATCTATTTAAGACTCAATGATAAATTTGTAGTCTACCTCTCATGAAGGGCATTGGATAGCAGCCCTGCCAGAGGAATAGACCAGGGAGCTAGTTGTGACTGAGTTGAAATTCCCTCCCTGATTCCCTCTTTGCACTAGGAAGGAAGTTATCTGCCAGGCTACATCTACACTAATGCTATTTCGGGATACTGGAGTATCCCAAAATAACTATCCTGCACCCTAACAGCAGGCCTGTTATTTCGGGCTCGCTATTCCGACAACCCTGTAAGCTTCTTTCCATGAGGAGAAAGGGACATTTCAGGATAGCAGGTTATTTCGACATTTGGTGCTGTGTAGACAGCGCCAAATGACAAAATAAGCTATTTTGAAATAAGATCGGAATAAGATACGCAATTTGCATGGCTCAAATGGCGTCTCTTATTTGGAGCTACAGTGCAGTGTACACACACCCCGGCTTCCTTGTCAGTTCAGCCCTGCTGGCCAGCATGTGGAGCACTCTCTCTCCTCACTTATACGGAAGGGGTGCAATAGCCCTTCAAAGAGGACTTCCTCCTCCTCCTCATCCCACACAAGGACCCACCCTCTGTAGGAAAGGGGGCACCTAACACACCCTTAGTCCCCCGTGCGGGTGTGCACACCGAAGGACAGTTCTGCCTGCTGGCCTTTATGTCCACACAGCAAAGAAAACCCCACAGCTGACCAGTGCCACCAAGGTGGGCTCATAGCACTCAGGCTACAGGGATATGTCACTAACGTGTAGATTTTTAGGCTGAGGCTGGAAACCAAGCACTGGGACCCTCTCAGCTTGCAGGGTGGTAGAACCCCAGCTCCAGCCCGGAAGTCAACACAGCACTGAAACAATCCCAGAGCCCGAGCATCAGAAGCCCAAGTCGACAGGCATGGGTCAGCCATGGGTGCCTGGCTGTAAATACACCTTTACTCATCTGTGAGTTTCCAGAGTGCAGACGTGCCAGTGTTGCTGCTGCTTTTTTAGTGGCAGGAAAAGCAAAAATACCCACGTATGTGAGCTGCTCCGTGGCTGGAAGTAGCTGAAATTCAATTTCTCAGAGTTGTTTTTTTCCCCCTAGAAATATGGTGATATTCGATATGAGGACGTGGAGAGAATGCGCTGCAGGAACAGGCTGTATGTGATCCAGACTCTAGAAACTACAACAAAGCAGAATGTGGTAAGTGTCCTGAAAGGACAGACTCTATGGGCCATGTGAAGTAGCATTTGTTGCCTTTCCTCTGCTAGACTTCCTCCCTTTTGGAAAATGCAAGGGATTGAATGAAGCTGACCTACGAAATCCCAGGACGAGTGAATAATTCCTTGAAGGCTGAAATCCTTCTCTGATGGGTGTCTCTAGTACAGTGTTTCCCAATTGGTGCTCCGTGGAACCCTGGGGTTGCGCGAAGCAAAAGTAGGAGTTCCATGAGGAGCCGGCACTCCCCCGCCCCCTCTGAAAGAGAGAGAGTCAGCTAGCCAGCTTAAAGAAGCAGCACACGTGTTTCCCTTTCCTCCCTGGCGACGCAGAGGCATAGGGAGGCAGGGGCAGAGGGAACAGTTGCTCCCGGCCGGCACACTAGGGAGGTGCCAGACAGAGGTGATCCCACGTGACCCACAGCGGGGAGGGAAGCACTTCCCCTCCCCAAAGGAGCCGGCGCGTGCTGCCTGAACAGCTGGGGCTGTTTTTCACCATGCAGAAAGGCCGTGGAGGAGAATGGGGGGAGTTCAGGAGACCCGGGGCTGCACAGCTCCGACTGTGCAGGCAGCGCACTCTGCCCTGGGGCTCCCCGCGCCCTCCCCACCCCCCAGGATGGCATCATGGAAGCGTCCACAAGCCTGTGGCTTGTTCAGCACCCCAACCTTCCACCTGAGCCCAACACTTCCCAGCCTGGAGCCTCCTCCCTAAGCCAGCACCCCCTTCTCCTGCATCCAAATTCCTTCCCAGAGCTTGCACTTCTCACCCCTGCCCACACCCAGATCCCTCATTCCCATTCCAGAGCCCGCACCTCCTGTCTCAAGCTAGTGAGAGGTATAAGGGCTGGGGACAGTAAGTGATGGAGAGGAGGGGAACGGAGAGGATGGGGCCTCAAGGAAGGGGTGGGGTCTTGGGGAAGGAATGTGATTTTCATGCATTGGTAGGTTTCCCTCCTCTTCTCCCCCCCCCCTTTTTGTTTGCTTGACAAACTTAGGGGTTCCTTGACATTCTGAAAAGGGTCCATGGCCAAATAAAATTGGGAAACACTGCTCTAGTAAATGGGGGATTGGTCCAAGGTGTTTTGAATCTGCAAATGAAAATGTGAGCTGCTGCTCCTGTTGGTAACACCACATGCTTCCAAGGACTCTGATCAGTGCAGGGAGCCACAGAGAATAGTGCAGTGTGGGCTGCCCTGCATTGCTGTGAGCTGCTGTTAAATGTAGTGCACTTTCCTTCAAGACATAAGGCCTGTGACACATGTGACAATGAAACACTAAAGTAATAACCAATTAATTAAGTAATAATTTAATTGTATATTCTATTTTGCAAGGAAGAAATGAAGTCTAGTACTAGTAACCAATAAACCATCAATGGAAAATCACAAAGGAGATAACTGGGGTTGTACCTCAATAAATTGGAACTCTTTGATCTGGCAACACCCAGACCACAGATGTTCCAGGATCTGTGCACTCCCCCCTGGTGCACTGCGAGGGGTGGAGGGGCCAGGAGCCTGCGGGGGAGGGGAAAGACAGTGATATGCGGCCCAGTTGGGCTGGGGGATAGGGGGGAGCCAGAAAGCCCAACGTGTGGCTTGACTGGGCTGGGTCGGAGGGCTGGGACCCTGTGCGTGGCTCAGCTGGGTTGTGGGGGGAAGCCAGGAGGCCTGGTGTTGGGGAGTAGGGTAGGGGGCCCAGAAATGACCTCCCCTGGTCTGGAAAATCCCATATGCAGGACCAATCAGGTCCCAAGTGTGCCAGACCAGGGAGGTCCAACCTTGTATGGCACCAGTCAGGTTGAACTAGAAAGGTTCAACCTGTAACATCTCTTTCTGCAGTAAAGGGTTTCTGTAAATGCTGCAGTAATCTAGTATGGGCACTGAAACCATCACTGTTGTATTTCCTTTTGGATCAGGGATGGGGAACCTCTAGTCTGTAGGCTGGATGCAGTTCACTGTTTAGCCCCTGGGCCACCACTTCACCATTCCCAGTCAATAGGAGCTGTGGGAATGGCAGCCAAGCAGCCAAGGGTAGCTGTGAGTGGCCATGCCTGCAGCCATCCAGCTGGTGCACTGGAGATTCCTCAGCCCTGTTTTATATGGGTAACATATTGTGAATGTGGATGCTAGTCTTGAAGCTGCCCTTGGCAGTAAGGAGTTGTACACTTGAATTCCTAATTCTCTTACGAAAAATGAACCTTTGTTTGCATGGACTGAAAGAGCCATTTGTCCTTTGTGAATGAAGCCATATATTGCATTAGTATGCACAGGCTGGTATATGAGTTGTCTTCTGGTGTCAGTAGTGTAGGATGAACACCCACATGCAATGGGATTTGATTTATTCTCTCCTCTTTGGGTAAGTATGTGATCCTTGACTTGTTTTAGAGATTCTCCACTCATTCCATAATTGTAAGCAGCAAAAAAATCTGTAGGCAAAATTCAAACAACCTCTTAAATGTGAGCTAAAATCTTAGAGAGCATTGGAATAAGACTGTAGAGCAAATGGGGAAAGTCACTATTTAAATTTTTTATTTTAATTTCTTTAGCTGCGTGTTATGTCTCAGGATGTAAAATTCAATCCTAATGACCTGGAAGAGCTGTATGAATTATTCAAGGTAATGTGCTGTTTTTCTTTAATGTCATTTGCAGAAAGTCTGTATTTAGGGTCAGTTCTGATAAGGAAATGTCACAGTTCCAACCCAATGAAAAGGAACATTTAATGCATACACTCTTACAATGTCATCTTCAAATAACACCAGAAACACGTTCAATATTTTTTCCCTCAAGTAGAATTTTCTTTTCTCTTGGACTAATTCTTTGCTTTTTCTTTATAGAAGGAGCATTTTCTGTCATGTTACTGGAATGCAAATAGCCCAGTCCTGAGACACCATGACCCCAGTCTGCCATATCTGGACCAGTATCGGATCAACTGCCAGCAGTTCAGGGTCCTCTATCATCTCCTGAGTCCATGGGCGCATTGTGCAAACAGGGACTCTCTTGCACTGTGGACGTTCAGGTTGCTGGACGAAAACTCCGATTGCCTTATAAACTTCAAAGAATTTGCCTGTGCCCTTGGTAGGAGACTATTGAATACAGATACTATATTGACATGAGGCTTGTTCCAGGGAGGTGCTGGATTCCCTCAGTTCCCTTTAACTATTGGATTGATAGTACTCATTATCCTGCAGAATCAGGCCCAAATATGGACTCTATTGAGGCACCTGGCTTACAGGGTATATTTATAACCTCAGATATGGTGTTGCTTAGTCTGGTTGAAAGTGGTTTAAAACGATTAGCTTAAAATTTGTTTAAAATGCTCTGGATGTGCCCCCTATATATAAAGGGTCAAAGCAGTTTCTATTGTTAACCTCTGACTTCACTTACTAGTAATTTTTCTGAAACATTGGCTTGAAATTTTCCGTGCTTAGTATGTATTAATGCAACTTTAAGATGTAATTCCCGAAAGCTGGGCAGTGCAGAAGTTCAAGTTCTGAACAGAGTGTTAACTAGGCCTTATTGCACAACCTGTCTAGCTGATGAAAAATACTTCTTCCACTATGTATCATCACGCAGACAACACATGCAACATAGCTGAGCTAGCATGTCTGCTGGGAGCATAATTTTTCATTTACTTTTTTATGAATTTAGCTGTGAATAAAATTAAACCTTAATGTTGCATTAACACTTTTTTATATCTAATCTAGAATGCTGTTTGCATAGGAAGTAAATGTTTAACAAAAACACAGGAAAAAAAATCAGCACAGTGTGCTAGGTATCCTTATCTGGCAAATAAATTGTGTGCATTCAACTCTGCCTATGTTTCTGGCTGCCATACCTCCAATTTTGGCCATTCCTGCGAAGGATTTACTAACTCAATAAATGTGTCTCTCTTTATCTAGGTACTAAGAGGTGGTTTAAAACGTGTTCAATAAAATGTCTGACTCTGTTGTAAAACAACAACTCATTTCACAGTATAGACAAACCCAAATTCAACTGCACCTTCCCTCAGCTTCCTTGCACATGTCCAACTTCAGCCATGCTCTGCTGTTCCTGTTACTAGGGTTTTCCCCCAAGATCTGAGCTAGTTGAAAGGAATGTCTTGCCTTTCTCCTTACAGATGTCATGTGTAATGGAAGTTTCACTGACAAGCTGAAGCTGCTTTTTAAGCTGCACATCCCTCCAGGTAAGTTTTTAGCAGTATTGTTTGAGAGCTCTTCTCTTGGCTACTGCTGTTTCCATCACTCTTCCTCTTTCATTCTTTAATTTCCAAGGCCTGCGTGTTCTTTGTTGTTTCACTAGTACAACATGCACAGTGCTGACCCACCGCTGTGGTGTCTGCACCTGCTTCACCCAGTGTAGTGTGTTCCACAGGACCAGGGACCACCTAGTAGGCTCCTGGAGCACTTCTGCTTTATTCTCTGGGACAAACATACCCCTGTGCTGTTTGTGCTACAAAACAGTGCTGGTCACTGAGTTTCTGTTATTACTCTAGTTGCTCTTCAGAAGCCCGATGTCTATGTTCAGCCATTGATTTTGTTTGTAAATTTGCCTCTCATCTCTTGATTTGTCAGCATTTTGCCATGAAAGGCTGGAGAGAGATGACATGGAAACATGCAGTATCTGGTTTGATTCAGAGATGTGATAAGACCAAGGCAGCCGACAGAATTGCTGGGCCTCTACGCAAGGTGGGGGGGGAGTGTGCGTGACTCCATGCTCCTGGGAGCGGGGGGATGAGCCTCCCCCAGCCAGCTTCCCAGAGCGTACTGCATGGGGCTCCAGCAGTGATTTTAAAGGGCCTGGAACTCCAGCCACCACTGCTGCCATTGTAGTGGTGGCTGAGGCTGGGAGTCCCAAACCCTTTTAAATTACCAGGCTTCAGGGCAGATGCCTCCTTTGCCCTCCAAATGATAAAGCCCAGGGGAAGTCGAGGAAGGGAGGTCCCCATTATCTAACAATGCACTTCTTTAGAGAGATTTGTTTACTAAAAGCCTGATCCAAAGCCTATGGAAATCGGTGGGAGCCTCCATTAACTTCATGAAAGACCCAAACCCTAAGGCCCCTGTTCAGCAAAGTCCTTAAGCACATGCTTAATTGCCTTAACTTCGGTGGGACTAAAGCATGTGTTTTTAGTTAAGAACATACTTACGTGCTTTGCTAAATTTGGATCTGAATGTGGAAAATGTTCTGAGGAAAGGTGGGGTGTTTGGGGAGCTTCCCGCCCCGCCCCTTGTCTGGAAGTCAAGTAATCAGGTTACTTTTGCCAGCTCTGCCATGTGCTGGAGAATTCCCTTAATCTCCCAGGAGCATTGTGAGCTTTCCTCACTTGTTTCTAAAGCTCTTCGAAATCATCAGCCAAAAAGTACTAAGCCTTGAACCTGCAAATGGAGTTTGCAGACCCCTACATGGGTGGATCCCCGCACCTGTATGGAGCCTTCTGCATGACTCGTGTTGCAGTATCAGGCCCTAAATCATTGTGGCGTATTATTAATAAACAATATTTCCATATTCTTTCAGAACCCTTCGCTAATGGCTTGCTGAGTATTTTGGTGCCATTAATTCTGAATACAGCTTACTCCAGAAATGGGGTTTGTACGGAGGAATTTCTACTCCAAGCACTCAGAAAGTGTGCTCAATTTTTTTCTTTCTATTCTCTTTACTGTTAGGTCCTTATTTGTCTTCTCCCACCTCCTCCACCTCTTTCAGCTCACGTAGCACCAAGAAACCATAAGAAAGTTTCTTGGCTGTCACTATGTTGCTCTTTCCAGTGTGTTGATGGCCCAAGTCCCATTCATTGTATTGATTACCCTAACTTTTCCTACAGCTTTTACTGAAGTGGAATCTCTAAGCCCTTCCAAAGGTGATGAACTTCCAAAAGAAGAGCTGATTCATTTCAGTCAACTCAATGGTAAGCACCAGCATGCTTGGTTTAGATTTGGTGACCGTCTATTAGCTGTGCTGGAGTAGAGCTCAGCCTAATCAAGATTGGGTCCTGTATGAATGCCTATGAAGACACAAGTCCTGCCCTGGAGAATGCTGTAAAATGTACCCGCAGATGACATGAATTCTTACAAAAGCCCCAGCCTTGATGATTAAATGCATCCCACAAAGCAGTGCAGAAGTTCTCTACAAATATCCACCTACTGTCTTCTCAGAGTTGTATTTTTTTTTTTGAATCTCTGTGTATTGCCTCAGGTTAGTGGCTAGATTCTGTGGAATACCACAATAAGCAGTACTTAATTATTATTTCATGTATGTGTTTACTTGTATTGTATTATGATAGTGTGCAGGAGCCCTAGTCATGGGCCATGGAGGTGGGTGCTGTACAAATGCAGAACAAAAATACCCAAGGAGCTTATAGACTTAAGACAGGAAAGAGCAGGAGGATAAAGACAGATGGGAAAACACAAGGAGCAATGAGAAAATACTGGTCAGAGTGCTAACCAGTGGTCTCAGTACAGCAGAAGCCTAATGGATGTCAGGTTTTCTTTGTGTTGAACTGCTGACTGTATGCTTATAACTACTCAAAAACAAAGGAAGACTCCTTGCTCCAGGGAGTTAAAAATTTAAATTCATAATCTTCTTGAGGTGCCAGGAACATCCTCCTCAGTTTCTGAAGTCCTGTGCAAAAAGAGATGAGTCCAAATTGCTGAGGATCTTATAGAATATTTCCTTTGGGAAAACTCATTTCTTTCCCTTGGCCTTGACTTACTTTTTCTTCTTCGTAAGCTGTGTGGGGGAGGTTTAAACCTATGTCAGCAATACAAAACCTGCAATAAACGTTCCACCAGTCTTGAACACCTGGGGACAGAGGTAATGGGGAGGATTTGAGACTGTGCCCCTGACAATTCTTTGCAGTCTCTAGCTAGCTCTGTGGTATGGTTAACAATTCTTGCTCTTAAGGAGGCCTGTAGGTGCTTCCGTATAGCTTCCGCCCTGTCACAGCTGAGCTCTATACACAAACAAGCATGTAACTTGCTGTGCTTGGGGGAGTGTTTTTTCACACCACTGAGCCAGAAAGTTATAGTGCCAGTGGGGGGAGTGTTTTTTCACACCACTGAGCCAGAAAGTTATAGTGCTGCAAAGTGCCAGTCAGCATGTAACTTGCTGTGCTTGGGGGAGTGTTTTTTCATTTTTCAGAGCCAGAAAGTTATAGTGCTGCAAAGTGCCAGTCTAGACTTGGTCTTAGATATCCTCCTTTTTTGAAGAAGGAAATTTTGATGATGGAAAAGACATTATAAAATTCAGTCTGAGAAAGAAACACCAAACACTTTCTTCTTTTCAAATGTAGTTTCCTCCCCTGTGGATAGTCAAGAAGCTGATGCTTTGAAGAGAAGCCCAGAAAAAGGTAAAGAAGCTTGACCAGCAAAGCCAGAGACTTGGTAGCCATGTGATGCCTTTGGGAAAGAAGAATCAGCAGAAGCTTGACCAGCAAAGCCAGAGACTTGGTAGCCATGTGATGCCTTTGGGAAAGAAGAATCAACTGCATGTGTGGAGAAGAAATGTAGCATCTCTTCCTTATGGCCGCTCCTGCATGATAGAACTTATGTCTAATCCCTTTGTATTGTTGGGCTTTCTCAGGGCAGGTCACAGGTAGGGGTTATATTCATCTCTACCTAGTCTGTCCTTGGTCTCACTAAGACAGCGGAGTAGGAACTGTGCTGAGGATACCAGCTCATTTCATATAAGTCATTAACTACCAGAGAGAGGCAGCAAGGAGGGGGGAGCAGGAGCTGGTTCTGGGGGGAGCCAGCTTAAAAACTGCTTCCCTCCCAGCACCATCTCTGTGGGGAGGCAGAGATGTAGTAGGGGGACTGGGTGTGAGCTGGGAATCAGCTGATTCCTGGCTGGCACCCAGTCCCCACTGCTGTGTTTGTGCTTTTTAAACTTAAGAGCCTGGCTGCTCTTAATACATTTAAAAGGCAACTTCCTTCCTTAACAGAGCAGTCTGCCCCCCACAGTTTTCGTTCCTTTTCAACTAATCAATGGAAATTCCATTGACTAGTCGATTAGTTGATTAAATGCCATTTAGCATCCTTAATATCACCTTGACGCTTCACAAAAATACTGTCCATCTTATGGGCCAAAACTGGTACGTCTCACCTGAACGGCATAAAAGCTTTGGAGAGAAGTTGGGTTTGAATTCTCTGATCAAAACCTGCCTCTGCAATTGGATTCCAAGCTAGCAAATAGCCAAGATCTCCCACATAAATTTGTTCTTGGGAGATCTGCCAAATTGGAACTTGAATCTTAGTGCTGACTCGGCTTCTCGCTTGAACCTTGGCATGTGTTTTCATATCTCTATAGGAAACCTTGTGCTGTGGTTAGATTTCTTTCCTTTAATATCTGATGATTGTGTCCAAAGAAAAAGATAAGCCAAACGTTGCAGGACATATGTGACTTAGCAGAACATGTTCCAAGGTGGAATACGTCAGAAATCTATTAGCTCTGAAATATTTTTTTCTCTCAAGCAGGTAAAGAGAAGATTGATATTCAGGCCTATCTGAAGCAATGGCAAGATGAACTTCTTAAAAAAGAAGAAAATATTAAGGATTTGCCTAGAATGAACCAGGTAAAACTGTCTCTTTGACTCCTTTATCACTCTAGTTTTTCACTGACACTCCTTGAGATTGGCATAATAGCTAAAGTGCAGTGGGATTGGGCTACTATTTCTCAATTGACTGGGAGTTTCATACAGACCATTTTTATTGTCCAGGTTACATTTGCAGTTAGCATAAGGTGAGCAGGTGACGCAGGGCTATCCTGAAGGGCCGAGGGACTTGGGGGGGGAAGAGGGCAACAGAAGCATGTGATCAAGTCTTGTGGGTCACTATTTTTATGGCGATCTATATGAGAGCATTGCTATGTAAGTGCTCGCTTGAGTTCGTACTGCATGTTAAACGCTCCATGTTAAACCCTTGTGTGAGACAGAAGACACATCTTGCCATCCTCATTCCATTTCCCTGACCCTCATGTTCTGCTATTTGACTAAGTGACTGCAAGAGTTCTCTGAACGTGATCTTTATTCCTGCTTTTGACACTCAGCCTTGTTCTTGTGTATTAAGGCAGGGGTGGGCAATAAGATGGCAACAGTTCACCAGGGCTAGCCCTTGGCAGGCTGCCGCTGCTGTATTTACCTGTGCCTCCACAGGTCCGGGCGATTGGAAAACATTTTGAAGGAGGAAGTAGTTAGGGACATTGAGGTTAATGGCAATTGCGACAAATTACAACATAGTTTTACAAAAGGTAGATGGTGCCAAACCAACCCGATCTCCTTCTTTGAGAAAGTAACAGATTTTTTAGATCAAGGAAATGCAGTGGATCTAATCTACCTCGATTTCAGTAAGGCATTTGATACAGTACCACATGGGAAATTATTGGTTAAGTTGAGAGGTGGATAAGCAACTGGTTAAAGGGTAGACTACAGCGGGTAATATTGAAAGGTGAACTGTCAGGATGGAGGAAGGTACTAGCGGAGTTCCTCAGGGATCAGTTTTGAGGCCAATTTTATTGAATCTTTTTATTACTGACCTCAGCACCAAAAGTGGGAGTGTGCTAATAAAGTTTGCGGATAACACAAAGTTGGGAGGTATTGCCAGTTCAGTAAAGGATTGGGATATCATACAGGAAGATCTGGATGATCTTGTAAATTGGAGTAGTAAAAATAGGATGACATTTAATAGTGGTAAGTGTAAGGTTATGCATTTAGGGATTAATAACAAGAACTTTAGTTATAAGCTGGGGACACATCAGTTGGAAGTAATGGAAGAGGAGAAGGACCTCGGAGTCCTGGTTGAACGCAGGATGACTATGAGCCGCCAATGTGACATGGCCGTGAAAAAGGCTAATACGGTTTTGGGATGCATTAAGCAAGGTATTTCCAGTAGAGATAAGGAGGTGTTAGTGCCATTATACAAGGCATTGGTGAGACCTCATTTGGAATACTGTGTGCAGATCTGGTCTCCCATGTTTAAGAAGGATGAATTCAAACTGGAACAGGTACAAAGAAGGGCCACTAGGATGATCCGAGGAATGGAAAACCTTTTCTTATGAAAGGAGACTCAAGGAACTTGGCTTGTTTACCTTAACCAAGAGAAGGCTGAGGGGAGATATGATTGCTCTCTTTAAATATATTAGAGGGATAAATGCCGGGGGGGGGGGGAGGAATTATTTAAGCTCAATACCAATGTGGACACAAGAACAAATGGATATAAGTTGGCTAGTAGGAAGTTTAGACTCGAAATTAGGCAAAGGTTTCTAACCATCAGAGGAGTGAAGTTCTGCAACGGCCTTCCAACGGAAGTAGAGGGGTCAAAAGACCTATATGGCTTAAAGATTAAGCTTGGTGGGTTTATGAAGGGGATGGTTTGATGAGGTAACATGATCTTGGTAATTAATTGACCTTTCACTATCAGTGGTAAATAGGCCAATGGTGGGAAGATAGGAATTACTATAGAGAACTTTTTTCTGGGTGTCTGGTTGATGAGTCTTGCCCATATGCTCAGGGTTCAGATGATCGCCATGTTTGGGGTCGAGAAGGAATTTTCCTCCAGGGTAGCTTGACAGAGGCCCTGGAGGTTTTTCACCTTCCTCTGTAGCATGGGGCACGGGTCACTTGCGAGAGGATTCTCTGTATCTTGGGGTCTTTAAACCATCATTTGAGGACTTCAATACCTGAGATATAGGTGAGAGGATTATTCTAGGAGTGTGTGGGTGAGATTCTGTGGCCTGCATTGTGCAGGGGGTCAGACTAGATGATCATAATGGTCCCTTCTGACCTTAAAGTCTATGATTGCAGCACCTGTTGGCTCTGTATTGCTGTTCCCAGTCAATGGGAGCCGCAGAAATCGGCATGGACGGGGACATTGCTTCCTGCAGCTCCCATTGTCTGGGAACAGTGATCTGCGGCCAATGGGAGCTGCAGTCACCCATACCAGGCACAGGTGAATACAGTGGCAGAGGCCAGGGGCTAACCGTGGCACAGGCCAATATTTCCCCACTGCTGTATTAAGGCATCAGTGGAAGGGGGGAGAGATTTTTTTTTCCCCTGTTTAGGAGTTTTTCTTTGGCTCTGAGCGTCTGAGTATCACCTACCCATTTATAGGAGACTTTAGCGCCATTACAAACCAGCTGGAGGCATCTCTTTGGATGTAATGTTCGCCCTGCTGCGTGGGGGAAGGCATGTTTCAAAGTGGGGAATGGCCATTGTGCTTTTAGACCAGTGGTTCCCAACCTTTTTCATACTGCGGGTCAGCAAACTCATTCAAAACCTTTTGGCAGACTGGCACTGAAACATTTGCATATTCGTTATGATTAATTTTAAGCAGTCACGTGTTTTACGTTGCATCTGTGTGCACACAACACATGTCATTGTGTGGATGGGAAGATCAAAATCATACGTTGTTAAACTGGTGACATGCTTTGCGGAATAGTTCTGGTTTTCGCTAATTTTTGGAGAGCGGCAAAAGGGTACAGCAGGCAGGGGAAGGGGGCCTGTGGCCAGGAGGAAGCAGGGAGGGAAAGAAAAGGGGGACCAAGCAAGGGAGAGGTTTGGCTGAAAGCATCAGGGTGCTGACTTTGGCTGGGGAGGCTTCTCCTGTCTTGTCCCCTCACCCCACCCTAACCGCCTGGGTAGTGGTGTCCCCTGCTCAACCGTAGTCACCCTGCTAGGGGGTCCCTGAGCCAGCCTCCAGGCCTCAGTGTGGCAGGGCGGTCCTGCTCCGCCACATGGCCCAGCCGTCCCAGGAGCGCCCCCAATCCCCAGAGCAGCCACCCGCCACATGGAACTGGGGCCGTGGTGAGGCTTTCCCCAGCAGGGACAGCCTCACTGCTGCCCGGCCCCAGTGTGGCACATGGGGCAGCTGCCCACCACACAGCCTCACCGGCCGGGCCGCATAACTGCCACGGAGCTGGAACCAGGGACAGCCTCACCACAGCCTGGCTCCAGCAGCGGCACACGGATCGGGATTTGGGAACCACTGTTTGAGGATGCTTTTCCATGATCAGTGATTTTTGAGGAGGAGGAAAGAACACTAGCTAAAAAGACAAGCCTGTTGGTGGGCCTTTGAGTTGATGTTTGTTCTCTCAATAGTCTCCCTCTTATTACTCCCTAGTTCCAATTCATCCAGTTCTCAAAGACTTTATACAACTTGTTCCACGGGGACCCTGAAGAGGAGCTGTTATATCGGGCTATAGCGACTGTCACCAGTCTCTTGCTGAAGATGGAAGAAGTTGGGAGAAGACTCCAAAGCCCCATGTCATCAGCCAAAAGCCCAGTGTCTGCGGCAGAGTCTAGCACTGATGGCCAGAACACACAGGAGGAGGACGGTGAACCCCCCCAGCCGGAGTGCAGGAAAGGACAGCGCTCTGGCAGAGACGACCACGAATGGTCTTTTGCCTTCGAGCAGATCCTGGCATCCTTGTTAAATGAACCAGCTTTGGTGAGATTTTTTGAGAAACCTCTAGATATAAAAGCCAAGATAGAAAATGCTAAAACGTCGCAATTAAAAGCGAGAAGAAGAGTATAGTTTTCTTCCCCTTTGTACTCTGTGTAACATAAAGGCCATTGCTATGGAAATTGAGCGTTGTTTATACTGAGAATGAGGTTTGAGGATTTAGCTTTGTAATATGTTATGAAGTAGTTAAGAACACTTCGAAGCACAATTGCATCTTTCAATAAATTTCAGTAGAGTTCAATAAGGACAGGAAAGTAAACTGCATTTTTACCACATTATACAAAATATGCACTATTGCTAGGAAATTCTTAATGCAACTCTGTTGCAAAACTTTCCATATGACTATTACTGGTTACATGCTTCTTAATTTACTGGTCATTGTGGGGATGAATATAATGATTTTCTGCCATCTTCAGTTATAGGTAGTACTAGCATCTGAGTGCTTTACTTTCAGGCTGGTTTAATTTCTAAATAATCTTTCTAAATCTCCATGTAAACTCTCACCAGCCCATGGCAAAAGCCTCAGTGCAAAAGGGAGTAGATTTTTTTTGAACTGGTATCCTTGATGGTCAAAGCAACATTGTTGATAAAAAAGGAAGTTTCCCTTTTTTTTTACTTGTTTGCTGTACTGTAGTGTTAATCTTTTCTTTATCAGTCCCCACTGACTTCTAGTAAATAGCTGGTGTCAGAGCTTGGTCTGAATCTATGCAAAATCCAGACCAGAATCCTAACTTCCCAGAGGGCAGCATTTCTACACTGAATCTGTACAGCCTGGAATTTTGGGGACCCAGATTTTGTAGCTCGGGCACGATTTCCCTCCTGACTCCATGGTTTCCTGCATCAAGCCAGATGAGTAGGTTCTCTCTTCCCCGCCAATATCCTGTATCCCTAAGTTGCCGGGATGGGGGAGCTAACTGATATTCTTGTGGCTACCGTTACACAAGGATGAGCAAGCTGGGGGACGGCTTATCAAAATGCTGAACATCCAGTCAACTGTATTCCAGCTTGCTGGAGGCACAAGGAAACTGGTGGACAACAGCTAATTCCTTTTACTCTACAAGGAATAAGGTTATGATGTATGTGAAGCACCTGCATTTTGTCTCTATCTGCATGCAGGGAGGAAAGGGATAATTCTCTCATCTGGAGCATGTCCGGGAATCGTGAGTTTGTTTGAATGTTGTTTCAAAACGCAATAGTAGCCATCAGTAGCCACCTCCTAATTATGACTGCTGAGCCAGGCTGCTGGTCTGCTCTGGCAGATGCTGCTTTATTACCTTTAAATCAAGCTCAAGCTTGTAACTGTTGATCTTCTGCCATTGGTCTTCACTTTTGGTTAATGACCACTGTGATAGTTGGATCCAGCACAACAAATAGCAGCAACAAAATCCTTCAGAGTCTGAGTGTCAGAGTTTTTAATACGACAGCAGTAGCAGCAACAAAATCCTTCAGAGTCTGAGAGTCAGGGTTTTTAAAACAACAGCCCGAAAAAAAAGGCGCTTTCTGAGTCATTTAAAAAAGGAGCAGCTAGCTCTTTATTGTAAGGATCCTTTGGGGGCAAACTCTGCTAATGTTACTGAGGAAAAATTGTTTGGCTGCTGTGCAGGTAGTGTGCGTTAAAATGGGGAAAAAGAAGAAAACCTTGTATTTTTACAAATTGATAAACCGTGCCTGTTAATGCATATCAAGGAGTGCAAAGCAGCACCGTTTTTATAAGGCGCGTGCTACTTGTAAAGAATTTGGGACAGGCGGCAGCACCAATATTAGGTGCTTTTTCTCTGATGCTTACACAGAGTAGAAACAGAACTAAGATCTCTGAACTTGGCTGTGTTGCAAAACGGTGTTGAAATTCTGTCCCTGTGAGTGGGAGGAAAGTTACCATGACTCCTTGAAAGAAGCTGGCAACTGTTTTGTTCCTGATCAATATCAATGCACGTATAGAACCATTTCTTCCTAATCTCAGGATTGAATGTAAATTGATCTTAACTAAAGGAATACTTGCAAAAATTGGATAATAGTATGTACAGCAAGTGAAATTAGGCAGTTTACTTAGAATTAGAAACTTAAATGTGGCTTGAGGTTATATCATTTTGATTTGTATATTATGTATTGCAGTCTGAAAAGTCTATAGTGTATATTTCTAAGGCTGAAATGGATACTGCTGCAATCATCTGTATATCTGTTTTACTAACTGCTCTTTTAAAAACAAAAAGCAGGTAACTCGATGTTCTAGGCAGGGCTTGATTGATCAGGCAAACTGGCTCGTAAGCAGAATGCAAGCAACCCCATTGAAGTCAATGCAGTTCCTTGTGCAAAAGGCTGAACAGCATCAAGCCATATGTGTTAAATTTCAGGCTTCACTGTGGGTTAACAAGTATGGTGTATTTGCCAGGCAAGTTAAAGGCTTATTGATTTTTTTTGGGGCGGGTGTGGAAACAAGTTATGAAAAGAGTTAGATGCAGGTTAAATGATATGCAGGAAGAAGGTGTTAAAGACGTTTGTAAAATGTAGTAGGCATGATATTATATGGCTGTTAGGCAAAAATTTGACTTTACGAACGTCATGCATTTTCTGTTATTAATCAAAAGGACTGTACAGAGCCAATTATATACAAGTTCTGTACCTGCCTCTCTAGTATAATTATCACACACATATTTATGCACAGAATGACCAGCATGCATGTAAGATCTGGTTAAAAGTTAGGGGTACAATCTTGGTTTATTGTATTATCCCAAGAGATTGTCTTTTTAGTTGTTTGTTTGTTATAGGTTTTTGAACAGAGAATGTAACGTCTGTTTTAATCATTCAATCAATATACACCTGTGTTCTGGTGCAGCATACAATTGCCTTGACCTTCTGTGCCATGCAAGCTCCAGATGGCCATGATTAGGAGGCTTTGCCCTGCAAGGTTGACCCTCCAGAGGAAATCCTTTTTCGGTGGGGGGCAAGGAAGTGTGCACATGCTTTGGGGAAGCACTCGTGGCACTCCCGGTGTTTGCAGGCTGTGAACCATCCTGTGATCCCCTCACACCACTTAGCCCTGATCTGAAACCCCCTCCATGGTTAGTACTAAGTATTCAAGATGAGGATGTGAAACTGGGTGCGTGTTTGTAGGAAGTCAAAGGAGAGGAACTTGCTTCACGCTGTGGTGAATTAGTTTAGAATCACTCTTTGTGTCTTGTGTTCCTTTCCTAACCCCTTTCCCTCTCCCCAGTGGAAAAGGCCTGGCTAACACAATCTATAGAAGCTAGTCAGAAGCAAACCCCTTTTCTGCTCCCCATTGACTCTGCTGTGGGATTCCTACTGTAAGGTGACAAAGGTAGAATAGCTACTTAGGAGAGCTCTAGCAGCGTTGGCAGGCATATCTCTACCTGGGAGCTTTGACCTCTTCAAAATTCTCTGTGGCGATGCTGAGAATAACTCTCATGCCTCTGTTTGGCTATTGTGGGAGACTGCACATCCCCCGGTTTCTCTTGGATGAGCCCAGGTGCAGAAACAGTTGAGTAGAGGACTGAGCAGAGTTTGGCAAAGTTCCAGGCAGTTGCAGAACCTGCTTAGCTATTGCCTAGAAGGAACTTCCCATTGGACTCTTCAGGACATATTTTAGGGGCCGGCAACTGAAGAGGTGGGTTTGCACTAGGCAGAGCCCCATAATTCCCCCCTTCCCCCCCACACACACAGCCGTAGCTAGACATTGTCATGCACAGTACCCTGCTTTTTTATAGGGAGGAAAATGTACATTGCCTCCCAGGTAAGACTGGCCTTGATGTGGGGGGAAGCTTGTCTGGATAGGGTTTGCGGCTATTAATGCTCTTTGCTATTTATACATTTTCACTTCATAAGTTGGAGCAGGTGGTATGAAAACACCAGCATGACTTCAAAGCTGATAGTTACCTGGCTACCCCATGACACCCAGTCCTCCTCTCGGTAACTGACAGCCTTTTAGCAATCTCTATAGGAATCCTCTCTCCCCAAACTCACTTTTATTGGCACTAGCTTATATAAAACGCCTCCCCAAAATGAGTGGAGAGAGGCTAAAATACCAGTTCGATGGAATGGCTGACAAAAAAGTATAGTTGTGCCCCTGATGCAAGTGAAATGAACTAAAAGGTGCATCTGGGGGTTTTCCACCTGCCTCAGCAACACTGTGGCAGGCATGATCGCAGTGGGGGACACATGGATGACTGTGCCTGACCAATAGTTTCAGCCGGGAATGGCAAATTAATGAATGTTACATTTACTAATATCAATGAATGTTACATTTGCAGATTGGAGGAAGAGCAGAACCCAGTATTGTAATTGTTTGAAAAAGATATGCACTTTAATGTTTTCTAAGAAGTTGAGGGTGATCTCAGTCGTATGGTACTAAAAACACTTAAGTTGCACTTCATCCAACACAGTAATTGCTAAGTACTCGTAAATGGCCATGTAATAAATGATCTTGTTTTTAGTCGTTGGTCAGTGTGGCAACTAAGAAATGTATATGTTTGTTTACCTTAACAGGAGAGCCTCCATCCACTTGTACTATACAAAATTCTTATATTTAATTAAAATTGTTTGTTTAAAAAAGTTTTAATAGAATTATTCCAATTTATTTCCAGAGAAATAAGATATTTTGTCGTTTTTGCTACAGTTATATCACCAAGAATGCAAAATGTTTGTGCTGGCACGTTGGCTTTTTATACAATGTAATGTATGCAGTAAAAGTACTGTAAGTAAAGAGATGTCAATAAATTAGTTTCACTTAAGGAAAACCTGCTTTGGAGCATGGTGTTCCCTTTTCATCGAGCTGAGGTTTGCTGTCAGGTTTAACCAGCATGTGACTTTCAAAAGGGCCTTTGAAGGCCGATCCCACCCTTGGTGTTACTAAAAGCAGAATCTCTCCATTTTACGGTAGCGATACCGGGAACGCTGCAAAGAGCGACTGGGTTTTGGCAGGAAATGGGAATTGTAGGGGTGCAAAGGTTCAGGACCTTAGTGGATGAATTGGAACTTCCCAAAGGTGGGACCCTATTTGAGAAGGCTTGTGCCTTCAGAGAGCCGTGTGTGCTCGGGAGCAGAGAGCTAAAAGCCACGTTTGTGATGGAATTCAAGGGGAGGGTGGCCAGGCCCCAGACTGTTTGGGGTTTAAATGTTCTCCCAGCACCTTCAGGAAAACAGGAAGCCCATGCACGGGTGGCATGTGCTCCCTAGTACGAACATTCAGGATCCCCCTCCCCATTTTTTCAGAGGTGTAAATATAAGACAGTCTCTAATACTGGGACATGTGGTCACCCTCGTACTGAGGGCCATGTGGATTTTAGCAGTTACAGGCAGCAGATCCCATTCAACACTCAACCCCAGTTTTGCACATTCCTTTCCAAATCAATCGCCAGAACACTTGACTGGGCAGAGGCGCAAGGAGCCGTCCTCTGGCTGTCAGTGACAACAGATAGCAGTGGCAACAAGAGGCAGACAGAGGGAAGCTGCGAGAGGAGACCAGCTTTTTAATCCTGGGCTGGATTTATTCCAACAGAGGAGCTTTACCTTTACAATTCTACAGTTGAGGATGGGGGAACCTTGTTAATGTCTATTTACCCTGCTACCCTGGGGGACTTTGTCTCCCTGCCCTTCATTCCCAACCAGGTAAGGTCTGTCTTTCTGCTACCCTCCACTCCTGAGGATTCACCAGGACTTGTAGGCTCCCTGCCCAGCATCTGTTGTGTGAGCCACCCACCTTTTGTTGCTTTTCCATGAAGTGTGATATGTGATGTGATCAGCCACTTGCTACCGCCTTAAACCACATGCCAAGGACCCAATCAATCCCTAGAAAATTCATTTAGACCCTGCTGTACGTGCCAAGCAAAGAACACAAGCATGGGTGTAAGAGCTCTTAAAAGTATACTTTTATTTTCTTCCAAAATACTATGTACAATCTGTTAAAGCTTGTAGAGCTGCAACAGCTCCTATCCAATGGAGCTGTGCAGAGACGTGTATGCAAGATAACAATAAAATCTAATGGTCTTCATAAGACACTTCCTTTTTTTCCATTACAAAATACTTTAACATTTATAAATGTATCTATATTTGACATAATATAAAATAAACTAATATTCATACGCCAGTCTAAGGGTTTTTTTACATGACATATAGTACAATATGTACAAGAACATTTCACTGTTTGTCAAACCAGCCTGGTTCTCACCACTGGGCTGTAGCTTATAATGTACAAATATGCTAAAAGTGCAAGACTTGAATTAAAGCTGCCTGTGTTTTCAGAGGTCTGGAATTGTGTGGCCAAATGTGTATACACGTGCGTACTGCAAAGCCAGACGATGCTTATGATGTAGGGTACTTTGCAATGACCTGGAGCCAATCTTTGGGTGTATTCTGCTGCGTTCCTACCCTCCAACAGACAGGAATGAGACCACAGGCTAGTGGTTGAAAGTGC